CAATAGAAAATAAAATTCAGTAGCCCTTTCAACAGTTGAAGCAGAATATATAGCATTAGGGAGTTGTGTTGCTCAAGTTTTATGGTTAAAACAATAACTTGTAGATCTTAGACTACTTGTAGGAACTATCTCAATTCAGTGTGACAACACTAATGCAATCTGCATATCCAAAAATCCAATTCAACACTCCTGCACAAAGCATATAGACATTAGGCTTCACTTCATAAGAGATTATGTAGCCAAGGGAGATGTAGAGTTGCATCATATAGCTATAAGAGATAATTTGACAAATATATTCACAAAACCACTTGCCTATGACACCTTTAGCACCTTGAGGATAAAACTGGGTATTATAGATATTCATGCTTAATCCAAGAAAAATAAAAAATTAAAAATAAAATATATTCCATTTGCAAACAATCCGTCATATATGTTTTGAACTTACATATGTTTGTTCATGTACTCGTTTTAGTTTATTTGTTGTTGTTCATTAAATTAAACAAAAAATAGTTATTTTGTATGTTGTTTGTCGTTTATGTTAAAATTTAACAAATTTATAATTTTTCTTTGATTTAAGATGTTTCCTAATTAACACTGACCTTTCTTTATTAGATTTAAACGAGAATTTGAATTTTAATAGGACACAATGGAGAAAAAGGATTCATGTAGCCGACCCCACGTAGTGGGATAAAGGCTTGATGTTGTTGTTGTTGTTGTTGTTGTTAAGATGTTTCCTAATCATCACACACACATCTCATTCAATCATCAAAATTCTCAAGTTTTTGTTCCTATCGGACCGTACGATTCACAGTCGTACTGTATGATCTTCACAAATGCACAGATCACAGCCCTTTGTTTAATCAACGGTCCAGATTAGCTCACTGATATACACATCATATTGTACGAAACACTACTCGTAATGTCTGATCCACGTGTCACCAACCGTTAAGGAATTGAATTGTTTGGTATGAAATTATTGACATTTGTACTGTACAATACCTCCCTTCGTACGGTATGATACACGTGTCAAATTAGATATGGACGAATTCAATACGGTCAGTACGATAATAATTGCACTTCGTATTGTACGAACACTCGTTCGTGCTGTACGATACTTTTTGTCAAAGGTCGTACCGATGACTCCTTGGGACGAACGAAATTCCTTAAGATAGTCCAGTACGATATTGATTGTGCTGTATGATTTGACAATTTTTTCCGACAAATCGTCTAGATGAAATTACAGTTCTAGTCATACTGTATGAATGTCTTCGTATTGTTTGATTGGTCAAAAACTCTATAAATTGGAGGGTTTGTTTAATTAACTCACTTAACTTCTTTCAATCTCTCATCGTTTCAAACTTTTTATCCAATGGCCGGTGGAAGCAAATGCGGCAGACTAATCCAGGGGAGCTCCTCTCGTTGTTGTGACGATCGGTTTCTCTCCGTCGCAAATGAAGATGCCTATCATAAGTTCAAAAAGGCAAAGATCTCCCCATATCGCATGTTAAACTAACCAGCCTTGAACTTCGAGCTTATTAACCTTTTTACCCCCACCACTCTCCAGTTTCTTCTTACCATGACCTTCCCCTTCAACTCTGAGCTCCTATATGAGTTCCTAGCGAAACATATAATAAATTTAGAATGCTCGACCTTTACTTCATTTGTCTACAAACAAAATATAGAAATCACTAAGGAAGAGCTAGCAAAACACATAGGACTCTCTACCCAAGGGCCTTGTCCCAAATTTCTGATCTCAAAAGAGTTTGATTGGACTTCCGTTAATCTACTGCTTAAGAATGTGGCCTCAAACAACCACCTACTTCTTGTCCAATCTCTAACTCAAAATACCTATATCATCCATCACGTCCTTCGAACATCCATTATACCCAAAGATGGAGATCGATAGAACATAACCCCACTTATGTTTGTAGTCACTTATTTAATCATATCAAGAATCAAATTTGATGAAGCTCAAATGATTCTAGATTACGTCTATAACATGCCCATTATACGACATCCAGTGCCCGACATAAAAAAAATATTGCCATAGGACCTATCATGGGGTACATCCTTGACACCAAATACCAACTCAATTTCCTATTCCACCTGATAATCTTCCTATCTTTTATGCCTCATTGCATATTCATTTCCATCAGGGGCAAGAGCACACTGAGTCAGGTTTTTATGAAGAAGGGGACACTGCTCCTGAAGGAGGACCGCCACCACTAATACCACCACCTGCACCAGCCTACCCTGCCGACCCTCATGATGATATAGTTTAGCGGCTCGAGCGACTTAAAACTCGACTGGATTATCACATGGAGCAACAACAACGACAGCACGACAAAGATAAGCGATGGTTTATTGAACGATTTACCTTGATAAATCATCAGCTTACCTCCATCCATTCATTCTTCCAGCCACCACCTGATAAGAATCCAACTTTCGAGTAGTCTTTATTTCCTGTATTTTTTCCATGTTTTTGTATTGTTTTATTTCTTTGGTTGTGTGGTTCTCCACTTTTTGGTGATGTCAAAAGGGGGCGAAGATGACTGTTTCATTGATTGTATGTTTAATTTTTTTAATATAATTTTCTACTTATATTTTTTTGTATTCCTATATTGTCGTCTTAAAAAAATAAAAACAATTAAATAAATAAATTAAAGATTTTGTTTGTAGTCTCCCAAATTTTTAAAACTCATCATCTAGTGAGGGGAAGCTAAGGAAGAAATAACATTTATCTTGCCTATCAACTAACATTATTTGATATCATCAAAAAGGAGAAGATTGTTACAATTCAGGATCCTTAGTATGTCATTTTGATGATGACAAAAATTTTTTACTGAATTATTATTTTCTTCCTCAAATATTTTAGAAGCTATTTTTGTCTGTGAACACTAACATTTCAGATAAAATACCCACCGCTCAAGACTGCTGAAGACTCGAGACAGGTTAGAATAGGATGTGAAGGAGACTGTAATTTATATACTTTTATCATTTTTTTCATTTGTTGAGTCTGGCCACAAAAGAGTATATAAATTGGGTGACAATGCACACGCAGGGAGATTTTTTTAAAGACAAATCATACTATACAATTTTCCTTCGTATTGTACGATCTGTTAACTGAGAATAAGCTTAACGATTAGTTAAATGTTTAGTTTCTGTGAACTAATTATACTGTACGATTTTGATCGTACTATACGAATTATTTCGATCTGAAAATCTTAGCCGCCAGATTAATTTAAGTAAATTTTGAATTTTGTGTTTTGAACTATTCGTATTGTATGATTACAATCGTACTATACGATCATTTGAAATTTTGCTAAAATTAACCCCCATAACTTGGAAATTAAATCGTGATTAATTAATGATTTTCTAATTCTTAATGTACGATCCTTATCATACTGTACGAAGAACAGAGATGGAATTCAACCGTCCCATAGATCGTACCGGGCAAAACCACAATTTTTGTTCTAATCGTATGGTAAGATATTAATATCGTACTGGACGAACTTCTTGAAATTAACTAATCGTACTGTATGAAGTATATAGTACGGGATGATTAACAAAGGCGGCTTTTGGTCGTCTCAGAATTCATCTCGTACAAACAGAGAAAATATAATAGATCATACTGGACTATCTCTAGATCGTACCGTACAATATGTTATAAAATTGTGAAATGTTCATTCTCCTTTGCACTGGACGGGAGTTTTGAACTGATCGTACTATACGAATTGAGAAAGGAGAAAGTGAGCTTGAGCGTAAGGGAGGAGTGTGAGGGGAATCGCACGGATGCTCTGGGCTAGTTGCACGCTTGCTCTTCCTGCGACCTTGGTGTGTTTTGTGGGTGCTCTCTAAGGAGAGAGGCTTCTTAGTCGGCCCTCAAGGTTCTCTGCCTTCTGCAGGAGGGAGAAAAAGAAGTCAAGGTTCTCTGCCTATAAAAGGAGTTTTGGTTTTCTGTCACACCGGGTTGGTGAAAAAGAGATTTGTAAGGGCTTCTCCGCCTTGCTGAGGGAGCAAAAAAAGAATTACTTTGTGTTAATGCAATACTCATAGTGGAGGACTCCGAAGAGTGTACGTAGGTCAAGGTTTGATCGAACTAATATAAAATTTGGTGTGTTCGTTCTAATTTTGCTTTCTATTTTTACTTTTTGCACATCAACTTAGGCATAATTGCTTGATAAATTTCTGAGATTTATGTTCTTTGTGATAATTAAAATTGCATCATCACGTTTTTCAAGACATTTTTAATTTGTTAGCTTCCGCATAAAAAAATTAAAATTGCTTATTTCTAAATGTTATGAAAAATCCAAAAAATTAGTACTCTTGCTTAGGATTATTTTTAAAAGTACCAATTCACCCCCTCTTGGTGCATCTAGTACTTTCAAAATGTAAGTTTTCTTCAATTTTCTGTGATTTTATTGACTGAATCGCTAAGAGACAGTAATTGAAGTGAAGAATTGCATCATTTTGCGAGGTGGGGCCAAGGCGTATGATGCTGGTCGATTACTTCGTGGAGAGAAACATATGTTTGATTTTCCCCTATTTTAAATCAATAGCAGACCTAAAAAGACTTTGTTAGAAAATATTAGAAATGACCTTTCTTTATTAGATTTAAATGAGAACATGACAATGGAGAAAAAGGATTCATGTAGCCAATCCCACGGTGGGAAGGATGGATGTTATTGTTGTTTTTGTTGTTATACTTCTAGGAATGTAAATGATGAACTATTGAGATGTTTGAACATCTCAATATATCGAATAATTTTTTTAGGACACTTAGATATTACTAAATTAGAAAGTAACAATCATTTATAAATTTGTCATTCAGAAAAGTTATCAGACCAAACATCGAACATCTCTTAATAAAATAACATAAGATTGAGATATTAGCGAACCAAACAAACTTAATTCTTACTGTTTTTCTTTTCCTATCCATATTCATCTACTGCTCTGTTAGAAATACGTATTACACAGCATCTACACAAAAGTTTGCATACCTTCTTAGAGGCAAGAATATCAGCCCGCTTGCGGCAGAGAACGCAACTAAATAACATACCAAAAAAGTTCATCAATATTCTGCTTAAAATTTGCAAACAAAATGTTATACACTCTGGTTTTCAATTTAATTAGGAGAGAAGTTTACAAAGATGTCATCACTTACCCGAAATGGCGAGCAAATGCAACAACCGCTTTCCTATCTCTCCACAAATCAAAAATCGGAATAGCTTTTCCCATTAAATCATAAACCTCTACTTTCTCCAAAGAACTTGTAATATCCTCGTCACTAGCGGTGGATGCAATACCTGCACAACATTATATTCCCGATAAAACCCGTGGTTTCAATTGAAATCCTCTGCATAAAATTCTTAGGACGCGGAGAAATCGTAGCTGCATAAACAAAAAAATAATGACCAGGGAAAAACCACCCAAGATAATTAAATGAATAAAGTGAATCAGAATCAGTTTCTTCCCTGGATTTCCTTTATCTATGTATATGATGAAGAGCGCGAGAAGGAACAGCTGGATGTTACCAGAAGAACTAACGGTGGAAGGAATTGGAGAGAGGAATCGGGAGAAGCGGCAGCTCTTCTTGGTATGGTAAGTAGAGACAATCATAGTGGGATAGCAAGAGTTCCTCGGATGAGCAGAAGCGCTCGGCCGGATTAGGGGTAGCCGGGGAGCGGTCAAAGGAGTGGTGATAGCAAGGTTCATCGCCATTGCCCGGTTGGAAGTGGACGGTGTTCAGGCTCGAGAAAGGAATGCGAATATGGGTGTAAACAATCTGATTTGGGCTGGAGCTTAATTAATTAATGAGTTTGAGCTCTAATTTTATTTTATGAGTTTGAGTCTTATGAGCTGGTTTATGTGCAGACTCGTTTATTATTAAAAAAATGATTATAAGTTGAATAATTATTATAATAAAATGATAAAATGAATGAGAAATCATAAGAACAAAAATAAAGAAATTTTTAATATAAAGGATATAATTTTAAAATATTTTTAACAATTTTATATTTAAAATCCAAAATTTTAATATATTTTAAGTATAATTTATATTAATAATTTGTAAATGAGTCTACTCACAAGCTTACGAGTCGAGTAGGGGCTAGGTCAAACATGACTCATTAGCTCATCGAGTTTAGCTCATGAGTAATTTATCGAGCCGAGCTCGAGTCGGCTCACAAGTCGACTTGACTCACTTACCTAGATTCGAATGCATAAAACTTGGCCAAGAAGAACCGACACCATTAGGGCACAGAGCCTTTAACTTCTTGAAAATATATATCTAAAATCTTTATTCGGATCCACATAACTCTTTTTTTAATGATGAATAATTTTTTTAAGTCATCATAATAAATTTTGTTCCCAACAACATCCAATCAAAGATTAACAACATATATGATAAAAAAATTCGGTCCATGATTGCATATTATTCCATGTGAAGGGTCATAAGTGGGTATGGATAGATGTTCTTCTAACTTCTCACCAAACTATTTGAAAGAACTGACTTCTCCAATATGGGTTAGAATGTCACACCTTTTGTTGATGTGTTAGGATGAAGAAAATGTTATTAGAATTGCATCCATGTTAGGGACCCGAATGTGGATTGACGGAAATATGTTTTAATGGGGGCGGAGGGAATTTGCCAGAGTATGTGTACGAATGGCTATCGATGAGCAATTTCCATTGGGAGTCTGAATTGATGGACCTAATGGTCATTTTTTTCAAAAAGTTGAATACCAAAAAATTTCTACATTTTGTTTTAAATGTGGGAAGTTAGGCCATCTCATTAATGATTGTAAGGTGAAGGATAATGTTCAAACTGTTGAAGATCCAAAGGTTTCTGTTGGAGGAGTCTCAGTTGAAATGTTTCCAATTGAAGGCAATGCTTCGTATGGTCCTTGGGTTCACGTGAATCATAAAGGTAGAAGGAGATTCAATTCAGCAGGGAAGATATTTATTCAATCTAATGCTGAAATCAAGTCAGTCATGCTAAGAAAGTTCCTGTGTATGTCAAGAAATCTCAAGCAGAAGTTTTAAATCATACAGTTAATATCTCAGTTGGAAATGAAAAGGAAATTGATGCCCAACCAGAAGTTGAAAATCATATTGTTGCTGCTCCGGATGAAGTTCTGTCAGAGGCTGAGGCTTGGAGATGAAGGAGCAATTAGTTTCCTCGAAGGTGTTTGATCAGGGCACGTAATTGCTAACTCTGATTCTACCAAGGTCAATAATATGTTTAATAGTCTTCAAAATTGCTATGATGAAGAAGTTATTGTAAATGTGGAACCAACTCGTCCTTTGGTTCCGGTTGAAGAGATAGAAGAGGGGGAGGTTATTGAAGATATCATTAAACCTACACTTTCAGGTAACATAAAGATGGGTGCTTCCAATGGAGGGGAGAAAGGGAAGCTTTTGAAAGAGCTTAATTCTTTGGGAAAATCTAATATTCTCTAGCATAACATAAAAGGTGGCATGTTATCTAGAGGTAGGAAAGGGAGTAGTCCCAATTCTTATCTTTAAATGTCTTCTATCGCCTTTTGGAATTATAGAGAGGCTAGGAAGAGTGAAGCCTCTCATTATTTGAAGGAGTTTGTGAAAGATTTTGATATCTTTTTCATTGGGCTTGTAGAAACTAAGATATCTACTATAGATACTTTTGAATGTAATAAATTGATTGGCAGCAATTGGTATTTTTTTCTTTTTCCCTCAAATGGCTTATCTGGAAGAATTTTGGTATGTTGGAGAAAGGATTTAGCTTCCTTTTCGGTTTTAGAAGCTTCATCCCAAGTTGTTATAGGGGAAGTTCAAATTTTCTATAAAGGAGCGTGGATTATCTCTTCAGTTTATGCTAGTAGAGATCCTCTTGGAAGAAGAAGCTTATGGAGTAAATTAGAAATGCCTTCTAATTTTAATCTTCCCTCTATTGTGGGAGGTGACTTCAATTGCATTTTATTTCAAGATGAGAAAAGAGGGGGGAAGAAATTCTCTCTATCACAAGGAGCTCAAGACATGAGTTTGTTTATGAACTCATGTAAATTTCATGATTTGAAGAGTATTGGTCCAAAGAATACTTTGTGCAATAATAAAAAGGGTGGGGCACATATATTGGAGAGTTTGGATCGGTGTCTTGTTAACACGACTGCTTTGGAGATTCTTAAAACCACTTATGTTCGTCATCTTGCTAGAATAGCTTCGGATCACTGTCCTATTAATATTCTTCCTACCAATATGCGGAAAAATAAGTTTTTAAAATATGAAAAAATATGGTCTTTATTTGCTACTTCAGCAGCTATTGTTTCTAATTCTTGGGTAAAAACTGTTCATGGTGATGAAGCTAACGTATTGAATTTGAAGTTTAAAAGAGCTTTGAGAACTCTTTTTTTTTTTTGGAGATCGAAGCATCAAAGTCTTGCTGCCTTGAAGGATGAACTGAAGGACATTTTAGAACTACAGAATGAAGAAGCCGAACTAGGCGGGTTACCAGAAAAAATTGCAGTTGCTCAAATCCAAAGTTCATGAACTGAATAGTACTCTTGGACGCCTTAACACATGGTGGAGACAAAGGGCGAAGGTGAAGTGGTTTGTGGATGGAGACTCCAACTCTAAGTTCTTCCATGCTTTTGCTTCTGGTAGAGGTAATGTTAATTGGATACATCAGATAAAAATTTGTCAAGGAGATTGGGAAGTAGATCCTAAAGAGACTGAAGGAATTTTCTTTGATTTCTTCAAAAGTAAATGGAAAGATAGAAAATGCAAGTTTGAAGGATGGCCGACTCCTAGTCATGTTCTGAATGATGTGGATAAAGAATTTGGAAAGTGTGGTGGTTAATTTAAAAGCAAACATCTCCCCAAATATTGATAGTATCTCATACTATTTCATTAAAGCTTATTCGTATATTATTAAAGAGGACATGTGGAAGGATATTAATGTCTTTTTCAAGAAGGGCATCATGTGTCCCAATTGGAGGGAAACATTAGTGGTCCTCATTCCAAAAGTTAAAAATCCAACTTTCCTTCCAAATTTAGGCCTATAAGCATTTTTAGTCTCTTTACAAGATCGTGGCTAAGATGCTTTTGTATAGGATTAATTACATCATTCCTAAGATTATTTCTGAGGAACAAGTTGCTTTTGTAAAAGGCCATTCAATCTCTGATCATGTTTTACTTGCTCAAGAATTGCTTAGCAAGTTTAGATTTTCCAAATCTTCAAAAGGGCTTATGGCAATCAAAATAGATATGGAGCAAGCTTACGACAGTATGGGTTGGTCTACCCTCAAGAAAACTCTACAGGTATTGGGCTCTCCTATGGAATTTTCTAATCTTCTTCTTCAATGTGTGTATGATCCTAAGTTTTCTATTTCAATCAATGGGAGTAATACAAAGTGGATTGAGGCTAGATGTGGTTTTAGACAAGGACAAGGCTGTCCCTTGTCACCTTATTTGTTTATTTTATGCTCCCAATTGCTTACCAATGCATTTTCTCATAGAGGTTCTAACAATGGAATTAAAATTTACCAAAACATGGATAGAATCTCTCATTTGTTGTATGCTGACGACATCATAATTTTTTCGGAGGCTCATTATAACAAAGTAAGGAAGATTTATAAACTATTGAAAGATTATAGCAGTTGGATGGGTCAAAATGTTAATCTCCAAAAATCTTCTATCCTTTTTGCCAATTCGACTATGAGGCCTAGAAGGAAATCCATTTCTAGGATTTTGGGTTTTAAAGTGGCGAAAGAGATGATGTATATTATCATCAAGATTGCTTTGAGAAGGCTGAAAGTTTCAGATTTCCAATTCCTACTGGAGAGAGCTGTTGGTAAATTAAATGTATAGGGTAATTGTTATATCTCTCTAGCTGGAAAATTGCTACTTATTAAGTCGGTCTTCCTTTCTCTTCCTACTTTTTTATATTCTCATTCTTTAGTCCCTAAGGAAGTCTTGAATGAATTGGATAGAATGTGTAGGGAGTTTTTATGGAATAAGCAAGATGGGAGTAAAGGCCTACATTATGTCTCTTGGGAGAAGCTGTGCAGTTTAATCAGGTTGGGTGGATAGGGTGTGCATTCAGTGGCTAGCAAAGAAGGTCCTTTGTGGGTCAGATTTGCATGGAATCTCATCTCTAACCCTGGTTCTCTCTTGAATAGAAATCTTATTGTTAAGTATGGTAACCAAATGTGGAAACATGAAGCTAAGAAGAACTGTTCTTCAACATGGAAAGTTATCATATCTAGTTTCAAGTCTTTAACCTCCATAATAAGATGGAAGGTTGCTACAGGTTCAGAGATCAGTATCTTAAATGATATATGGATTTTTAATAAATCATTATCAAAGTGGCCTACATTTGCTGCAGAATTAAGTGAAGATTTAAAGCTAGATGTATGCATACGAAATGGAGAATGGGACGAAACTCAATTGCTGAGGTTCTTTGGATGTCAGCTGATAGATGTTATTATGGGAATTGAAATTTGCCTGGAGTTAATTGTTGACCGTATAGAGCTTGTTGTCAATTGTTCAGGGAATTTGATCTCTGCTTTGATAGCTAAGAATTTAAGTAGAAATGGTGATGAAGATGCTCATTGGTGGTGGCGTAAGAAACTGAAGCGAAAGCCCAGTATTAATTTGTTTTGGTGGTGTATGATAAATAATGCACTTCCATTAAATGAATTTTTATCATATAGAAGGTTGCTGGATCATAAAGAATGTCCTAGAGGATGTATGCTGACAAAAAATTCAGAACATATTGCTGTCAAATGCTTGAAATTAATAGAAATCTTTAATTTGTTCAGGAA